GGAGAGTTTTTCTATATTCTTTATATGTTTATTGTCAAAGTGCTGCGTTTTTTTGCTGTACGTGAGTAATGTTCACATAAGTATAATTTGTGCACAGTAATTGTATTGCAATATGAGTGAGGTACAGAAAATGAACTGTTTGCTGTAGTGAACCACAACGTTTCTCACCAACTTTAGCATTTTGTCGTTGTTAGGGACATTCACTAATTTTATCTATGCGATTACTAAAACTTAGCCTTTCGCCTCGCTTCAAACTATTAAATGGTCTCCGTATTTTCAAGGTCTTTATTTTTAAGGATACCCCTTCTCTTAGATAACGATAGAATTTAGTTAGTTTTTCCCAAAGGTAGTGGCAAATATTTTAACAATATTTAAGGAAGGATTTCCAAATAGTGAGATATTGTATAATGGTGTGCTTTAATTACGATAATAAATGCTCTCACCTACAAGCCTATCTTCAAAAGTACTCGTATAACAGTGTGTGGGTGTTAATGTAGTCCATGTTTGAACGTATGTGATTGTGTGAGTGTTAAGGGGTGCGAAGGTACTTGCGTGTGCGTTAGTGAAAGTACGTGAGCACATTAGTCCCTGACAGAATGCGTACATGCATGTATGTATTTGCTTGCATGTGAGTGCGTGTATCCATGTGAGTTCTAATAAGTGCGCGAGCTCGTACGTACTCAGGTGTATGTGCACTAGAGCGTTTAGTGCGTGATCTTGTGTATACGTGACAGTGTGTATGTGAATGTACGTTTGATTGATTTATTATTTTGTCACTCCAGGCACGTGAACTGCTGTTGTCATTAGTTCCGAAAGTGTAGTGCATGTTTCTATCACGAGATGTGACGGTGCCGAAGAAACTCCGTCTGAAGGATGAGTTAGGTGATGGCCTATGAGTCCTAGTTATCTTGTTAGTGCCAAGGTTGGGATTCGCACCCTAGAAACTCCCAGTCAGAAGCAGTGCAGTGACTTAAGTTCATGCCACGTTTGTACGTGTGTTAACGTATGAATATGCGTCCGCATGCGGGTATAATGTGACTGATCATACCTATGCGAGTATGTATCCGTGAGTGCGCGCCTGCATGCGTGTGTGTGTGTGTGTGTGTGTGTGTGTGCGTGTGGCGTCACGCCGCCCGGGGACCCGCAAGGGTTCTCTTTGTCGCGCTGATTCCGATAATTAGAGCGAACCGGCTCGGACCAGTCCAGCTCCCCCGCCCCTCACGCCGTTTCAATAACGCCTCTCCTCGTTAGGCAGGATTCAGCCTCCCGCTTCCCGGAAGTGCCGCTGATTTCCCTCGCGAGCTCACAGGCATTCGGCGGGCGCGCCTCAAAAACACTTCCGGCCGCAATCGCCGGCTCTTCGGAGCGCTCGCGGGCGAATCGTTCGCGGTTATGTAAAGATTCGTTCGTGGTTATGTGACGATTCGTTCGTGGTTATGTGACAAACCGTTCGTGGTTATGCGAGAGGTTCGTTTGCGCGCGAGGGCTGTGAACACGTGCAGGGTGGAATTAAACCCGTGGCAATCCTGCTTGAAAGAAGTGCAGTTGAAAATGTTCATGGTGTTCACGAAAGAACACGTGTTTGCTGTAAGTGCGTCATATCAGAAGATGATCTTGTTAATTGTTGTGGCACAATTGAGAGTGGCTGCATTGAACCTATTCGCGTTTTATTAGGATGCATCTTGTAAATTTGGTAACTGAGTAGTGTGACTTTTTTTGAAACAACATTGTTTGCATCCAATACGAAGAAGATAAGTGTACGACTTTTTGTGATCTCATTTCCATAAATGTGTTCCATCAGTAAACATTTTCTGATTCGTACTATTTCCAAAACTTTATTTTCGTGTATTTTTGTCGACCTATTTCACATATTTTATGTATTATTACAATATTACGAGAGAATTATAATGTTGATTTATTGTTCAACGCTTCCAGAAGCACCACCTCTATAGTCATTAATTGCCTGTGTGTTATAACTCGTGAAGTAACGATGAGAAACGTTTTAGGGAGAAATACTAGAGAAAAAGAATTGAGTGTTTGTTGGTTGATGGTTTTGAATATTTTTTTCTTTCTTTATTACTCGTCAAAGAACATGTACCATTTTTCAAAATAAGTGTTCTTAGCTTATAAATTTTCCTTCTTTGTTCACAAGATAACTTCATGATTAACTCTGACATTTTCCCTTACCTTTTATCATAAATTGCACTGTTTTAGTAATGAATAAACCTTCCGAATAACGGACAAGCTAAATTATGAATAAATCTAGTACTTTTGTTATGCATTTTCTTGAATGATTGTTTTCTACACCATCAGTCGTCATGAAAGAGCTTTAAGTTTAAAAATACCACAACTTAATAACACTACCAGTAAAACCTTCCTTATATTATCACGATCGCGCGGATACAGTCTTTATAGCTTTGTTTGTAGAGGATAGGTTTGATAACAACTAGCTGAACTCTTGTGATTACGTATGTGACTCAAAAGGAATTGCTGTTGAAAAGTTGCATCAGAAAACGTTTAGTACGTACGAGTCTTACACGGAAAATAGAAAACGACAAAAATGTTTTATTTCGTTCAGAGCTTATTCTCTGAGATTAAGAAAATGAGGGGGCTTGATGGGAACGATTGCTGAACATTGCTGTTATATTCTTATTAATGTTTACATTTACAACCAATCTTCGAACTTAAATTCGCAATCTTTGTTTTGACGGGTATAAATTCACGTTGCATGGGTGTATTAGAGTACCATTACGTACTCTTCCCCATGGTAATTGGGAAACGAAAACCTTTGGTGTTTTCAATATGTAAATAAGAAATCAACGCAATTAAAATAACTGTCTACGTATTTTGACGAGAAAAAAATTGCAAATTAAATTAGATTCCTCGAAAATAAATACATTATTGGTATATACGTCAGTGTTCTGGTAAAAATTCAGAGCGAAACCATTAGTTCTCTTCTAGGTGCGTTACAAAACGAATTCAATAACAAGCGACGGACGGAATTCGGTACGAGAGAGCCCAAGATTTAGATCTATCCCTTTGTCTCCCCCCTCCTTGGTTGAACCCGCCTGCGTTTTGTAGCTTGTGCTGCCATCGCGCGCAAGATGTGCGGCTCATGGAAGCTCGTCTTATTTCCGACAATTCTGCAGCTCCCGGAATGTAAACATCATACTTCCTTTGTGTTTGTACGCGCGTCCTTTTTTCTTTTTCATCTCGCGGACGTGAGGAAATTAACCCCTTTGAATGTCTCTGGCCCTTTGAGTGTCGTTCTTGGATTAACTTTCTCTTTGTTTTGGGAGCGTAATATGATGAAGCTGATACCCCACTTCCGCCCACGACATGATATTAAGAGGGCCATCTCGTCCTCACTTTGTCTGTCTGAGCCAAAAGACGTAACGTGTTGCCTGGGCGGACCACAAAGGTGTTGAGCGAGGTGTGAAAGTTTTCTTTGAGTAGGACGGAAAATAAGTTGGTCGTTCCGGAGGCGTTTCTTGAACGCGGTGAACAACTTCCTTGCGGTTGTTCGTCAGAAGGGGAAGTGTATGAAGTCGCTGGAAGAAAAGTTCCTTGTGCTTCAACAATTGAAATGTTTTGGAGGGAAAATTGTTCCCTTCTTTATATTTGTTCCCAAAAACGATGAGAAATTTCAATATAGTAAATAATCAATATAGTAAATTTCAATATAGTATAATAAACTAAATCTGTATGAAATTAATTTGCGTTAATTTGTACTCTTCTACATTTGATATAAATATCAGGGGTTATTTTAAGAAGCTGTTTGTTGCATTGTAATCTTATCATTTTGTCATCGAAGAGGTACAGGTGTCTCTCTTAACTACTGTGAATGATTTTATTCATCCGGCCTATGCGTGTGCTACTCATTGCATCGATAACTTTAATTATTCAGTGCTAGCCTTTTAGTCGGCAGTATCGGAGGATTACACCTGGGTCGATAGCATGTAACCTCCAAGTAATTCATGATGTTGGCAATGACTAATATGTATATGTATGGGATGTATATGATGGTCCGAAAACTGACGAATCAAAATCGACCTGAACGCTACTTGAGCGTGATCCAATACTATACTTCTCGTGTCTGAGCAGGAGTGACGCTTGATACGAGTTCGATATCTTCACATCCTGGTGCCTACTCAATTCGTCCTGATCCGACAAGACCCAACATTACCACATCTCGGCCTCAACCGACTCCGAAACGATGCTGATCTATACTATACCAGACGATTCTGAACCAATACACGTCATAGCCGAACTCACTCCAACGCTTGTCCACCTGTCTTGTCCAAACCAACCCGGCCCAACCCGACCCGACTCGAATCGGTCCGATTCTACTCGACCTGAACCGACACAACGTGACCCAACCCGACACGACCCTACCCTAATCGACCTGACCCTGCCCAACCCGACTTGACCCGACGGACCTGACTCGGCCCG